TCAAATTTTTGTCTAGAATTACCTCTGAGGTTAAGATTTATTCTTTGCAATGCTTTCTTAAAATAAAATAAAGTTAAAAAATAAATTTCATTGCCAGTAAAATAATAAATAAATTATAAATAATTAAATTAAATTATCAATCTCCAGTTTCTGTAATAAGCTACAAGCATAGTAATTACATTGTGACTAATAATACAGAGGCAAGCATTACCATCTGCTTCTAGCTTACTTTATTGGTCTAGTCATAAATAAAGAGAGACATTGAACATATCTGCAATCTCTTTAACTTTACAGACAAAAAGTAAAATTATAGTAAACAAGATATATCACGAGAACTCAATGTTTCTCGAGACGGCTTTATCTTCTGAAGGTATATATTTCATGGACAAATCCTGTTTCAATCTCCTTTATACTTGTCTGGGGTCAATTTACTTAATTTGATTTGATTATGGCTTCTGCCTATCTAATTCAAGTACAGTTTGCTTTATATACACAAGCTCCAAAGCAAATATCCACCCGAGTCGAAAAATTTCGATGGGTCTTACATTGATTACATTGTTATAACATAACTTTTACATTGGATACATTGCTAAAAAATTTTATTTTACATTGCTAAGATCATTCTTACATTGAAAATGGTATAAGCAATGTTAAATTAATATATGGCAATATTAGTAATGTAAGAGTAAGATTATTAAGGTTTTATATGTAGATCTTGAGTTGACATTGGTTACATTACTAATCATCTAGAGCAATATAACTAATATTGAAAAAATATGAAGCAATGTTACCAATGTAGAAGAAGAATTATAAAACATTTCATGTGTGAATCTTGAGTTTACGTTGGTTACATTGATAATAGTTTCTAGTAATATGTATAAGCAATGTCAAAAAAGGACATCGTCAACGGATGATTATTGTTTTTATTTTTATTTTATTAAGTATTTCGTAACAATGGTAATTTATTATTAACAATATTTTAACTGTTGTACATAGAATTCAACTGTTTATTAACAGAAAAGAGAAAAAAAAATTATAAATCAATGTAGCACAGTGGGAATCGAACGGTACGCGCGATCCTCAAGTCAAGCAACATTTAGGCTGGTAAATAGATGGATGGGTGACCGAAAGGGAACACCAAAAATAACAATATAACCAATGTCAATACCAATGTAGATCTAAATTTATTTTTATTTTTCTCAATGTATTATGATTACATTACTTTTATCATTTTTACATTGCTTCTTTCTTTTCCTTGATAACATTGAATTGACATTGCTACTACAGAAAAGGGAATTATACAAAGGATAAAATGTTGAAGCAATGTAATCTTAAACATTGAAAATGAAATTTAATTTAAATTATTTTACATTGGTTGTATTTCTAAAAAGCAATGCAACCAATGTACAACCCATCAAAATTTTTCGACTCGGGCAGTAAAAAGTTCATCCATAAATCACGATATTTCAGGAACGTTTGAATCAAATAATGAATCGCGATAATAATGATCAATCAAAGCAATCTATCAACTCGTAATTTAAATGATAACAATGAAAATAGTCATCTATATTCACAGAATATACATTCTATAGCTATTTAGTATTGAATGAAACATTGAATGCAGCTAATTATGCCTTCAAATGTCGTTGTTATTGTATCTGATTAATTATTTTAACTACCCCAATAATTTATCAAAAATAATTTATATTTTATTTCAATAAATAATACCGTTGATTAAATCAATAATAGAAATTACATCATATTGATATATTCAAGAATGGAATAGAATGTTTTTGAGTAGTAAATCTTTCTATGAAATAAATCAGCATCATAAATACTACCATTGAAATTTAATTTAGTGTATTGAATACAATAAATTCCACAACATTAGTATTCACGTTAAGACTTGACTAGGAAATGGATGTTTCTAAAACCAGAAAAGATAATTTTTATTCCTAACAACAGTGCATGGTAAACGAAAACCATCCGGTGTATTTCAAGTGTGGTATGAAGCTGAGTATGGGTAGGAATATTTTCCCGTTTTTCAAGAAAACAAGCCCATGGTTTTCACTTTCAAATCCTCTTCTTAGCATTCTTTCTGCTTTATCTCATTTCAGCTTATATTCTTCAACCCTCGAAAAGGTTCCCGCCTCATCGTCACAAGGTAGTAGACCCTTCTTGTTGGCGTTGTATCCACCTACCGGATGAAACACGTTTCACAAGTTTAGCATTAAATTTATCCGGCCCCTTGCTTAAACAGCCACGCACGCTTCTTCCCTCGTTCTTCTTATTCCATCCACAGGAACGCCAGTTTAACCCTCCAATACCTAAGACTTGAGCCGACGCACGACGATCCTTCTGGAATAATGGAATGTTAGGAGCAACTAAGGAAAACGAAAAAAAAAAATCTACGAGAGAAAGTTCTACTCTCAGTAGTGAAAAAGTAAAAAACCTCAAAAGTAAGAAGAAGAGAGTCCTTAGCCTGTCACATTTTCTACTTTGCAAAGACGTATGGGGGTAGCTTAATTGGGGGAAGTCTTCTTCTTTTATTTATAAGATCAAGAGTCTATCGCACCCGAGGGTGGCAGGCTCTCTTTTTCGTTTTCGACATTACGTAGAAAGTTAGTTTGAAGAAAAGGGCCACCCTTATACGTGCTCAAGTACCTCCCGAACATAACGAGTAGGATAAAAACGCTCGCAACCGAGTGGGTGACAAATAACCCTTATAAACGCCATGCCATAATTCCAGTCCCATTCCACGACAGAGCCATGACAACCTGGAATGAGAATCATGGGGTGTACACTGGAGGAGGATGAAGAGAATGGTAGAGGAAAAGCAGAAAAAGGGGTGGCCAGTTGCACCACTTGATTACGTGCTGATAATAAACATGACGTCGATATGAACTTCCTCTTCTCCTGTTCCTAACTCTCTCTCATTTCTCACATTTCGTAACGTTACATTTCGACGTTTGCCACAAAAATTGCCTCTCTCTCACGCTGCCAATAGCAAATCGATGTTTCAGATATGGTTGTAAATATAACGCGTTTATTGAGAGGATGATTCGTATCCGCTAGCAGGTTTAGTTGTAGTGAGTATATAGTATAGCATAGAAAAGTGTACACATGAAAATGGAACCGATCTACAACGATTGGCCGCGCGTTGGCAATTACAAACAACGAATCATCCAGACTGGTCACATTTTTTTGTCCTTGCTGTTTATTGCTTGCCTTCTACTTTTCATGTTTCTATCTCAACTTTTTACTGTCATTTTTTATCACTTAATTTTCATGATTTATATTATAAATAAATAATACTTTGCTGCTGGTGATCAATTAATCATTCAAGTCATAAGATAAAAAATATACTCATTTATTTTAATTTTATATTCTGCAAAATATTTACTAAAACATTAATAACAAAATGATGGAGTAAATTTTCTTCATCATTTTATCCTAAAAAAATTACAATTTTATTCAATGTTTTATTAGAAAAAATAATTGTTTATTTGTCAAGATTGAAAAGAAAAATATTTTTAATTCAAGAAATAATTGTTGTAATTTCTAAAAGATAACATGAATAAAATTAGCATCACAGTGGTATTTTGTATGCATTTACGTTGAGAATAAATTGAGTTTAATTTATTGATAATTACCATGGTTAAGGCAACTTGATTCATAACCAAGGTATAAATCGTCACAGCAAAAAATGGGTGAAAAAAAAAATTAAATAAGTGTGGCAATGAAGACAAAACGCTGTGCGATATGAGTTGGAAACAGCAGCAGTTTTTAGTGTGGATCACAAAGAGTAGCGCCAGAGGCACACCGAACGTTTTATGAGACAGTAACGGCCGATAAGGTGAGCTCGCGCCCCCGACGGAGCTTAGCTACAGAGTATCCAAGTGGCTGTTCAGTGTATACTAAAGCTACTTATATACATATATGTATGTATGTATATATATACACTCTGCACTTCTTCTTTACTCAATGTGCTTTCATTCCTTAGTTTTTACCGTCTTGTAACTCGACCAGTCACTATTCAACCGCTGTATCCTTATCGAAAAATCTTTACAATCTTTTGTTGTAAATTCTTCACTAATTGATGCTCTTAATTACCGTCGTTTGTTATCGCCATTATGAAGTTAGGAAGAAGATAATTGTGGCTCAAATTTTCAAGATATCAATTTACTTGCTATTGGGTATAAATACACCTGAGGAATTCGATTGGCAATTAAATTAAATTCCTGGTCCAACAATTATTTATTTATTGAGGAATTATAAAAGATGTGGAAATTAATTTTAAATGTTCACCACAATCGCTTATTTACTTTGTTATTTACCTCATTCTTTAAAATACAACAAAAAATGGAATAATGAAAGATGTTTAAAAAATAGTAAATAAAAAAATTATTGTTGCGAAATTTTATGTATTAATTCGAACAGAGTCACTTGAAGATACTTCAGAACGATACGACCAATTACTTGACTTAAAGGAGTTATGTCACTCTAAATGATCAAAGTGCTTTTGCCGTCATGATTTATTTTCTAGTAAAAACAAAAATAAAAATTTAATTGAAGAAAAAATTTTAATAGTTTGCAATATTTTGCTTATTTGTTTTATTAAATTTTTATCAATTAAAATAACAAAATTTCTTTAATTTTCATAGCTACTACCATGGATTCCATTTTACTCCGCTTTCCCTCACCATTTTATTCTTTGTAGCTTCATAAAGAAATTAAAAAAAAAATTATTTACTCAACTCTCAGTTTATTTATTTTTTTTAGACAAAAAAAGTTAATTTAATATTTCAGGCTCAATCTGTTCTCCATTCACCCTCAAATGAAATAATGAATGAGCTAAACATGTGTTAAATACTCGCTTGTGTGTCTGGCAATTGAAAGAACAAAAAAAGCATCGATGGATCAACATAATAATAATATTATCTATCAGCCATATTTGTATGCACTGTGGTTTAACTAGTTTCTTATGTTCGGTGTTTCAGGTGCGAATGGGTTGCGCAGACGTGGTCGCCAAACCTACACGCGCTACCAAACATTGGAGTTGGAGAAGGAATTTCACACAAACCACTACCTTACAAGGCGGAGGCGAATCGAGATGGCGCACGCGCTATGTCTGACAGAAAGACAAATAAAAATATGGTTTCAAAATCGACGGATGAAGTTAAAAAAGGAGATTCAGGCGATCAAAGAATTGAACGAACAGGAGAAGCAAGCGCAGGCACAAAAAGCGGCAGCAGCTGCTGCAGCGGCGGCAGCGCATCAACAGCAAGGAGGTGGTGGGGGACCTGAAGGGGGCAACTAGGGGTACGCCCTGCACCGGAGCCCCCCTGACCACCCTAATGCCAATCCACACCATCCTCTGTTAGCACCGCAATGTACACAGCTATATTAAGGTCAGTTTTATTATTTACTCTTCTGTCTAGTTATTTCATTCCTTACTATCATCAGCCAGGTTGTTAAGAATTTTCTCCAAGTAATTGGAAAAGTATAAAGTTGTTGTAATGAAATACATGAAATAGTTGGAATGAAAAGTACTGAGAAAAATAAAGTATTTATTAAATGCTTGTAACGATTGATTTTCATGTAGTATTTCAATTATTGAAGTGAGATTGTTATTATTGACTATTTTCTTATGTTATTATAAGAGTCTTTAGATTAATTGCCATTAGAAACTCATAATCACTTCGGTAGTAAAATAAAATTAATTATAAATGGTTTACAAATTCATTAAAATATCTATTTGAACATTTATTTACACAATATTATGATAGTTGCATTATCTTTATTAATAACTTGTTTATTTTTATCAATTAAAAAACTTCTGAGTTTAATTGATGATATAATCTTGTTAAAAATAATTTAAAATATAGATTTTGAGAAAATTTATCAAATAAATGTTTGATTAATATAATTCGATTCTTCTCAATTAATTTATTCCAATATCATTATTTAATCTCATTAAAATAATTATTACTTCAGGGAAATAATTTTATAATGCTTAAAGGAAATATTTAATTTCAATTCTCACCCTTGAATGTTGAACGCCGAGTGTTTATAACATGTTAAAATTTATTTGTTGTGAAATGTCGATGATTAATACCCGATAAACGTGATAATGATTTTTATTCTAAATTTAACTAGAATAAATATCTCGTTGAAAATATACAGAATTAATTATGAATTTGTTCGGGTTGTCATTATTTACGTATAAATAAAGTAGTATGCGCGGCGGACAAAAGAGCGATCTTCAGAGAACGCGCGAACACCTTCAGTCTTGCAAGATATCTTTCGACGGTATATCTAATGAAGCTAAACCGCGTGCAAGCGTGCACTTTCATAATTTGCTAAGTTATTCCACTCGCGTGTTCAAGCATGCTCGCGCTTAACACGTACCTAAAAAGAGATAGTCCCTCTGGCGTGTTATGTTTAAAGTTGAAATGTTGCAGGTTCGTGATTCTATAGCTTAGTTAGTATAGTGTACATTTCATTTTTTTTTATTACTTTCTTTTATTTTTCTCCCATCAAAAACAAACTGAAAGTTGAGGTTTTTATCACTCTTCACATTTTATGCACTCTTCTTAAGATTTTTCCGTGTACATTTAATCACTTTTATGGGCAATGTTAAGAAAATAGAATTTAAATGGGATGTTTTATTGTTTACTGCACTCAAAGTGTATTAGACATGTAATAAATAAATTTTCAAAATTAATTTATTATGAGATTGGAGTTGTAGTATTTGACTTGTTAATGCATTTCATATATCTTTAATTTTATTTCAACATAAAAATATATTGAACAAATACAAAAAAAATGAAGGATGAAAGAAAATGTTAAAGACATTGGAAATAAGCTTGCATTAAGAGTTGTCTATTTTCAAATTGAATTTTTTTTATTGAATATTTTTTTTTAATTCCAATTATTTTTATTACTTAAATTAGTAGCTAATTAATAGATTCATCAACTAATTAAAATTTTTCTTATGAGAAAATTGTTAAAAATATTACAAAGAATATCAGAACTTCATTTAAAATTATGAAAGAAACTTTTTTTTTGAAACATGTCATATTAAAATTATTTTATTACATAACTTAGACGTTTTTGTTTTATTATAATTAGTCAAATGATAATAAATATATCTCATTCAATCAAAGATTGTATTTTGTATGGTAAAAGATTTTTTTTTTAATTATTTTAGTGAGTTTTAAAAAAATGCAATCATACAGTCCACACAATTCCCAACATAATTATTTTTATTGATAAAATTTATTAATCTAAAGCTATAATAATTCTTTCTCTGACAATTATTATAGAAATCAACATTAAAGCATTATTTTGGACATAATTAAATACAACATCATGATTTAAGATTAAATAACAACCTCATAGGCCACGAATTACAATATTTAATCGTAACAAAATGATCTTTCAGTATTTCATCTTACCTTGTTGACCGATAACTTTAATATTAGTTGAGAAACGTACGTAATATACCTTATTGAATGCTAAACTAATGAAAAAAACGTGCTTGATATTTCGAAATAAAAATTTCATTGAATATATTACCTAGAGAAACTTGAAAGGATTTTCCAATTAATTGTCTAAGTACTTCTCCAAATTAATTCTTCATTACTTATTCCTACATGAACTCAAGTGTCATTTGTCTGATTTCCATTTATTTTTATTCAAGTAGAATTTCAAATAAACACACAATTGTCATGTATTTTTCCTAGTCTATTATCATGAACAACAAGCTAAATAAACACGACATTAAATTACAGGAATGGATATAGCTCTTAGTAACAATCGTAACTCGTGGAAACTATGTATTATTTTCATTGTCGGCACACTTTGTAAAACACTCGTTGTTCATATTTTATCGCTTACTTATTTCGCACTGCAGAACACTTCAAATCACACACTTTATCGTAATGACATGATTTTATAGCACAACCATCCATCAACACATTAAATAATAGATTGGTTCAACTTTGAAAAAATATCATACGTTCAATGATAACTTGTTATTTCACCACTGTGATATACATCAATGTAACTGTATTTTAAAATTTTTTTTAAGAGAAACGCTAATTAAAATTATAAGGTACAATTCTTTAATAAAATTTACGATCATTAATTGCTGACTTTCAAGTAATTCTCTGTGGAGGGTAATTCCGTATCATGCAAAGATTCACACCCGTCTGAGCTCCCTCTGCTTTATTATCGTTCTCTTCTATCTATTTCTGCCTCCAAAAGTGAAACTTCTACTTTCCTCCTCCGTTTATTGCAGATTGTAAAAAAATCTTTTATGACTAAACATACACCCGAAAGAAAGTTTTTCCAAGTAAACAGGTCAAAAAAAAATGTTTGATCCTACAGGACAATTTTTATTATCTTTGTAAAGTATTTTTGTCCTAAAGTCACTGTATCTTTTCAACCTAAGACATCCGGTTATTTATACTACATAACACAGTACACCCCTAGATGCATCGTAAAAAAAGGTTCGCGTTTGAATTTTCTGCACTTTCACTTGACACTTTCTCTAGTTTTTTTCTTTCGAGTTTTTTTTATGTTTTTTAGAACGAAAATTTCTCTTGGCGACGGTCGGTTAACGAGTTTCTTGGGGCAATTCACCCTGAAGAGTAGGATTGACTGTATCTCCAGATGTTTTTTCTTCTCAAGCAGTGATGCAACGTATCAAGATCATTACACATAGAGATAAATACAATGGTGCCAAAAGTATCCAGTTAAGATTACGGTGCTTTAAATTGGCAATTATCGATTACTTTTTTGTGGGCACTGGTTAATATTATCAACAGAAGTGCACATTTGTAGATAATTTAATTTTAAATTATACATTTTACATTTATCAAACCACAAATTATCCGAGCAATTTGAATCCCCATCATTGCTGATCAAATGGCGATGCATGATTCTGTAATGGAGATGAAAACATTCATAAACAGTTACAGTCAAACGTTGTCCTTCCATTTAATCGACACATTTATCAATTGAATTTTTGTTTTTTCTTCTTCTCAATAATTTTATCAAGTCAACTATCTCGTGTATTGTATCAAGAAAAATTCTACAAAAGAATTTCACTGTTTCTTTAATTTTTTAATGATGTAAACTTGAAGAAAAAACAGTGGATATCAAGAGAAAAGAAGTCTCAGACTTTAATTAGCATCCTTATCAACATTTTAAGGATGAGTTATCGTCTTTTTATGATGATTAAAAATAGATTGAAAAATTCGGAATGTACAATGAAGAAATATCGAGATAGAAAAGTGGGTATAGTTGTAAGGGAGAAATACAAGAAAATATTCGTAGGCGAGGAATGGGAGGGAAAAAAATGAATTAAGGAGAAAAAACAGAGTGCCAGTTAGGGTCTGATTTGTGATCTGGTCGTGAACCCTGAAATAAACCTGCTGATATCCTATCTTTACCTTTTTTATTTCTCTTTCCCTCCTGTCTTTTTCTTCATATACTGAAACATACACGCAGTCATTTCTATTCCCAGAACTGGGGAGACATAACAGACAAGTACACGCGGATCCTACCACCATTTCTAACCCGGTAAAGACGTTATAACGCACGGCAGTACCATCGCGATCGTAATGTAAATTTGGACGGTTTCAATCTCCGCGTGATTTTATGCAGATGGAACAACCAACGGAGCATTTATGGAAATTTTCAAACTTGCACGACACGAGTAACATTATGGTTTCCGGGTTAGGCACGACACAAACAAAACCAAGATAAATACATCACACACAATTGTCTCAAAGACTCTGAAACGCGATGCCAAGTTTTTCCGTTGTTGCAGTCATTCCCACACGACATATTAATTTAATGACTAAAGTCAATGATTGAGTCATCCCGATGAAGACGATGTAAAAACATTAGGTGAGACTTGAATACATTTCAATACCAAATGAAGAGATAATACATTAATGTCACCAATAAATATCCTGCGTTACAAAATCGATTCATCGTAAACATAAAACTGATATGAAGGATCCGAAAAAGTTGCATGAATTTTTTCCATAAATTATTTCAAGAGATTTCACTTGAATTTTTGCTTACAAGCTACATAATCACGCACATTACCGCAAAAAAATTTTTTTTGAAAAGTTTATTGAGGTCATGTTGAAGTCTATTTTATGAAACATGGATAATTAAAAATCGTTGATAATAAAAAAAAGTTGAATTGAAGATTGGTCAGTTAAAGTAATCGATTTATTATGAGAATTGTGCTTTTATATCTAGTCTCGCTATCACACAAATCGTTTCGAATATACAAGGGCGTTCATTCGCACTTAATAGCAGTAATTCTTGTTTGTCTGCTGCCGGCGGCATCGAGTCTTTCCAACATGACTCGCATGTCGGCCATACA